CAATTGTCGGTGTCGTTGCGCAGCTTTTACACGATATGAAAAACCTGCGCAACGACACTTATCGAACCGACAGTTGTCGGTAGGCAGGAACGGAATACGGGCCCAGTATTAGAAATATTTTTTTCTATGATTGAAGAGGGGTAATTGCAAATTTTATTAATAAATTTCTTAGTCGCGGTTGCTCGCACCACATAAAGTTTTGTGAGCTACGTATAGTTTTAAATTTATAACTGATGATAAATATTGTGTAATTAGATTATGCTTATCAATACACTGTTGAGTTATATTCTATTGCTATAAAATACGGACGATGTGTTAGTATACGCATTTCCAACGTTTTTGTGTAATCCGGAATTAATAAGATATCTTATATGTAACACAATTTTTTCCTATACTGTGTAATTATATTATTTGATTATGTATTATTATGTATTAGGTTTTGGCATAGACTGAATTGTGTAAATTTGTATAAATTGTATTAAAAAAGTGTGTGTGTGCAAAAAAAAAACAAAAAAATATAAAGCTTAGGTATATCCAAGAAAATGAGGACCGCTGATTGGAATTGGCGGGGGTGGTGGAGGGCCTCTACAAGTTGGCTCATTTTTATCGGACAGAATTTTAGCTGAAATTAAAAGTGTAACTTAATTTTATTATAAATCTAGGCCGAGTTTAGCCAAAATACATTCAATTGCAACGATGTCCGGTAAAAACGGGTCCTCTTAAGTATAAAGTTTATAAAATACAATTATTAATACAATTAATAATATTAAAAAGTTGGTAATATATAATATAAAAAAATATATATGATTAAAATAATGAGAGAGATGCCCCCGGAAAAAAGGGAGACGTCTCATTATTTTCAGCCTTTTTTTCAGCCTTTGGATTATTATTTGTCGAAGAAATAAGAGAAAGCAAACTCAAGGAAAAGAAAATAAAAAAATGTACTTTACATTCCAGAAGAAAAATATCTAGTAATAAAATACTACTGGGATAGGAGATACAAAATCGAAAAAGAAATTATGAAAAAAGATTAAGAAGAATATATTGACAAGATAACAGAAGGGGTGACATAATAATGATAGAACAAAGATCAAAGAGAAATGGAAATCGGACAGGAATAAGAAGAAATTTGTCGAAGAAGAATCAAGGAAAACAGAGCACAACAGCGAAGGAAGAACGAACAAATAAAGTATACTAACAACATCAATAATGCGAAATAAATGAATTTGAATCCTTTTTTACATTTATATGATGTAAAACATATAACATAACATTTTACATATGCAGCGTTATATTGAAATAAAGCAGCAAATGAGACACAGATAGCAATAATAGTCTATTTATAATCTCGCAATGGTGCCGAAAAAAATTAACACATATTAACATTAGAAGATTCCATACTTTGGATATTTTATTAAAATATACATTTCGTCCAGAATACAAAAGGAAAAGTTATATACATTTGTTTCCTGAAGAGCTTGCGCAGTAAATGATGATAGTAACAAATGATATTAGTTGATGATAATAATAATAATACATCCGCAATAATATAATAGTACGCATAATCTCGCATAATTACAAATTACAAAAGAGGCAATCATTTATAACTTCAAAATTATAAATGATGATATATTAAGTTATATTATATATTAATTTATAATTTGCAAATTCGCATTTAGAATTACTAGAATATAGAGAAACGATAGAACTGCTAAATAAATCTTAGTTCACGAAAACGAGCACAAGTTTCTCGTCACCTTCTTCGTCATAACTATTTTCCTCGTATTCTTCATCCTAAATGGACTCACTTATTCGTAAAAGTAGAAAAAGAAGTAAGTTTCTCCAAGAACCAACGGGATACTTTGATGTCGATGAGATCGACATTAGAGAAGAAGATGGTCTACAATTTACTGCGAAGTCACTTATTATTTTCTACTTTTCTTATGGTACTCAATCCTTTACCGATATCTCTCGTTGTATCGATTGCAAAGTTTCAACATAGATATGTACATTTGACAAAGTTGTGTCATATCCGTGAACAGATGCAACACCATTTGGTGTGCGGAGGCCTTCTTTTAGCTGACTCTTAAAAGAGTTTGTAGAACCAGCAGAATGGATCGATAAAGAGTTAAAAGCGATTCGAGTTCACCTGATAATTCAGAATAAAATAAACTGCGGATTCTTAATATATATTTTAATTTACGCATCCTTGCCGATCCGCAAACTCCATCAATAGTTACATCTTGCGAACAAGATTATCTTGTGCCACGTATAATAGTAGATATTTCTTTGTACGTATTCTGTGTGAATCCTAAATATTGTCACTCTCAATTTCTTTCTTTATCTCTCACTTTACTCTCTTAATCTCTCTCTGTTCTTTTTAAATATTCAATGAATAAGAGAGTAATCCTTTCGTCAAATAACGTAATAATAATTTTTACTAAACAGAAATTTGTTCTAAATATATCAGCTATTAAATTACAATAATATAATTCGTAAAGTACGTATATACAAGAAATATTCTGATAACATATTTAATTTTTGATGTCAAACACCTAACGAAATTGATATGTATGTAAAATATGATTTATTTTTAAAGAAAAGAATTAACATGATGATGGATAATTAAAACGTTGCAAGTTATGCAATAATTTAGGGTACCTTGAACATAATTATACAAATAAAAAATCTTTTTGGATAAAAAATATTTAATTTTTCAGGATACTTTTTTGGCTGATTTTTACTTAAACCATGTTTTCTTATTATTCTGTCATTGTTTAATGTAGTCTAATGTAGACTAATGTAGTTACGTAGTATAAATTGACAGTTGTAACATATATATATGTGTATGTGTGTGCATCTATTTAGATATAGTTTTAGGAAAGGAGGATAAAATTTACACATTATTTCTGAAAATATTATGAATATACTTTTGCAGTATTATTAACGTCAACCACAAGGCACTTTCAAGGCCTTTATTGCTATATCGACAAGATAACGATTGAAGAAAGCAGTGAGAAAATTAGAAGAAAGATATATCATCTCTTCTAATAAGACTATATCCATGTGTTGAATGTCCATGAATAGCGAAGAAAAATTTGATATAAAAAGAAAATTCTTTTTAAATGTAAAGGTAAAACTTTATTATTCTTAACATTCATTGATAATTTTGAGGAATATATTAAGAAATATAAAATCTCACTGAATCTTCTCTGTATCTGCGTCAATTTTCTGAATTGCCTTGATGTTAATCACGATCTTAAATACCGAAAATAGTTTCTCTTCTCAGTTATCAGAATTATACTTATATATTTGTAGCATAGTTATACACTCTATTAAAAAATTAGTGATTTCACTTTAGCATATATTATGTCGCTCATAGAATATTGAGGCATTGGATGCATCTGATACCGTGAAATAAACTATTAAATACAAGAGTTCTCGTTGTGTACATGTAAAATTAAGGCAACAGATATAGACAGCGCTTAGAGGTGTTCGTTTTATGCATGTGATAACGTTAGCTTAACGCTAACAACTGTATCCATTATCCTACTTGAGTCGTAATAGCTACGTTTCCCGTTATAGCAATGCTCAGTACTCAGACCGCGTTTCAGACGTTGAAAACGGATGATACTTATACGCATAACTCAAACAATGTATGGAGACGCTTTCCAAAAAAGAATTGACAAAATGGATATGTGTGTATAAACATATATACATACATATATCCATTTTATTATACATATATATTGATTTCAATAATATTGTGTATAAAAGTGAACGTAAAATTATGCTCCAATTCTCTAGAATCAAAAAGTGAGACTTTCGGTGCCCTTACCACATAATTTCCATCTACGATATGTTTCATCACAGTTTTGTGCATAATACAAATATAATAATGCAATAATAATTATACAAAACAATGATCCATGCATTAAATATTTTTACAACAGCGTCATATGTTGAACTAAATGAAAGCTTCGTGAGATAAATAAGAAAGTAGTGCTATATCTTACTAAAAGCAGTTTAGTAAGGTATAGTCATGTTTCGTGAAGTTCTCAAACAAAAGAGTCAGTTCGAAACATTTTAAGCTTACATAAACCCGTCGAATGAACTCTTTCCTTATAAATAAATGTGCTCTAAATTAAAGCTAATGTACACGATTTTAATTGTCATTGTTAAAATCAACGTGCCGATCGCTTTCTGATCTGCACGCGAAACGATATTATATTACGCTGTTATATTTTAATCTCTAATAAATTATTTACATCTTACTAACGCACTCGGTGATATTAACTCTTAACAAGCAAGATCTTACGCATTGATCTTATCGCACAGGTTGCATAGTAATAAAGTTTTGCCAATTGCGTTACGACAGCTCCGAACGAAAGTGTTACAATCTCAAAGAATAAAACATTATTAATTTCAGAGTATTAATTATTTTCGTAAATAACGTATATTTTCGTAAATATACCAACAAGAAATTATTTAAAAAATAAAATATATAATAATTTTGCTTTTATATATATCTTATGTCTTTATTCTTGAAAATTTGATATTTAATTAAAGATATATCTCAATAGCAATATTACTTTTTATTGTCCTTATACTCTTTATAAATTATAACAATTTTCATTTAACACTTGCGTTCAGAATTATACATATGTACAAACTCTATACTTCTCCCCTAGGACAGCAAGGCCCAATAATACATTTTAAAATACTAGATTTCCAGCATTGTGTCTAGCTGATGTCTGCCTCTACGAATGAGCGAATTTTATACATATATGCACTTCTCGTTTGCGATACTAAATCCTATTATCCAATAGATATAACTGATATGGAATTAATTGACTGTGCAATTCGTTACGATACTTGTTTTAAAGTAAAATTGAAAACTTTCTAATGCCCGTTCTAGACTGGAGGATGAGCCGACTCTCGGCTCATCCGCCTTCTATAGTGTACGTGACATAAACTATACATAAACTATAGATTTTTACCCGTCTACACCACTCACTCGGATGAGCCGAGAGTTGGCTCATCCGCCAGTCTAGAACGGGCATAATGCGAATTGATTCCCTATGTCATATATTGCTACGTTCATAACTTCGAGATTCTTTCACGTTGATACTACACATGTTTTGTGTTTTAATAAAAAAATCTGTACAGTATGAACATCCTATAACTATATAATCATAAAATTTTGGAAGATTTTCTTCCAAAAATACTTGTGCATGTTTTACCTTATATTTATATCGTAATTAAAATAATAAAACTAACTTCGATGAATTAAACAAAATTAGTGATTTTACTTGAAAAGATGTGAAAATTGATAAGAACTTTGATAAATGTATATGTGTGCATAAGTAAACGTAGAAAACAGATTGATCAAAATATTCACTAGAGATCCCCGTAAACTGAATTATTTAACCAGATAATAAATATTTAAAGGCCAATATACTAGTTTTCTAAAAATTGTTACTCAAATTTATGTTTAAAAAAGGACATGTATCGTGAGATATGCAAGATATGCAAAGTTCATAATTGCAAGGCCATTGATATTCGTATATAGGTATTATACGTGAAACGATTTCACATATTAACGTTTTCTATTAGACTCACTGGATTTTTCTAAGACCTGCTGGATTTTCCTATTTTTTGTTGTTTTGTAAGTATAGAAAATAAATAATTTCCTGTTTCTTTTATTAAAGAATTTGTAAAACGTCGTTTATTATGGGAATCCAAGATTGCCGAAATATGTACTATCGTAATAGAGAAACGATCGTACTAAAACTGCAATAATCGTACCATATTACTCGACAGCGAAGCCACAAGTTTCTTCAACCGCCTGCGTAAGCTTGTCAAGCATCTTTTGATAAGTCGGATAACTTTGCGGTATGTCTATTCTATTGAAACAGGTATGTGCTTTTGGTAGATTTTCGCTCGGGGCATCAACGGCGTGAATCGTGAAGAGCCGTGGACCCGCCGCTCCTGTCGATCCTGCGCAATCAAACGTAATAAGCGATTATTATTTGCATTCTATATTTTTAACGCAATGTGTTTAAATATGAAATGAGCATTTACCTTGCAAAGCTTTGAATCCTTGTAACGGAACTCTGGAGCTACCGGTAACGAACTGAAGCAATCTCGCTCTCATTTCTTCACCGTACGATTCTACTATCTGCCAAAACCATTGTACAACCGGCGTATCGGGTGTGCAATGCTTAAGTCGAGTATGCATCTTCCAATCGTTTATGTCAATAGTGCCCAAACCGCCAATAACTAACTCCAATTCGCGTTCATCAAACGGTCTTAGTAACAGGGGAGGTATCAATTCGTGAAATCCTTTCTGTAACGCTAAGAACTGTTGCTCGATACCGCGCATAAATCGATAGTTTACGTATAAGCGAACGTATTCTCTCTTGTTTTCTTCCGTCACCGGAATGTCTTTACCGCCTGGCTTTAGCTCGTGATTCTTCAAAACGCCGAAACTACTGTGCTCTACGGAAAAAGTAGCATCCAACACGCCGTCTATGCTATTTTCCCTAATAACGTAAAATATAGTAAATTAAAAATTTTTTGAAATCATCTTTAGAAAAAATAACATATGAATCAAATATTGATAATAAAGTTTTCTTAAAAAGAACATGTCACTTACAGCATCCATGTGAGGCTCCTGTGCAGTTCTGGATCGACTCCTTCTATATCGCTCAAAGTTATAGCTTTATTAAGCAGCATTTTATAGAACGGTGTCGTGAAACCACCGTCAATGTGATGACCATGAAAAACGGCGATGCCTATAATCCTTCCGGCAAAATGAAAATACGATAAATGTTCTGGATTTATGCCTGAATCTGGATTAATTTGAAGCGTATAATTATCGTCTCTCGAATACTGAAAGAGCCCGTATTGCGGGTTTAGCATCTCATGAGACAATAAATATAACCATTCGCGTGCCACACCGCCGTAATCAAGGCCTTCCTCGCCGCGGAATTTGACCATGAGCCTCTTGCGCATATCTTTCGGACGCATTTTCATTATCAATCTGTACGATTCCTGTAAGAACAATGTATATTGCTTATATTGCTTACAGGTTCTCGTGTAAAACAAATTCTTATTCTTAATTCTTGGTGATAATGACATACGAAATATTTTAGAACAAAAAAGCTACGTGGATTTAAAATTTGCTTACTTCGAATATTTCATTTCTCGACACCTCCAACCTACAATGTCCACTCTGAGGCTGAAGAGCATTCAATTCCGCTCGAAGGCATTTCAATTTTGCTACTAAATCACGTTTGTATTTCGGAAGAAGTTCATTGTCCATGAGCTCCTTCGGTAATTCCGACACTGTTTGAGCATTTTGGGATGGAGTGCTTTCCACTGAAATGCAAAAAAAAACGCTTGTTAACCCGATCACACTATCCACATATACCCACGGAATAAAGAATCTCGATTTTTACGATAATGCGCCCTAATGAACAAGACTCTTCCGAAATGAAATGGCATTTCACCCAAGTGACAAAACAACCGAGACTGATTAACAGTCAGGCTGTGTTGCATAGATAGACTCGCTCGCAGATAAGATAAAATTGCGAGGCATACACAAATGATCTTTTGTTTTGTTTTTGTGTGAAAATGAGTAGATTATGCGATCCATATTGTGTGAATATTATCAAATGTGTAAGATACCCGCGAGTCAAAGACATAAAGCGCTTCAATTATTCTGCATTGTAGAATATATTTTCTCTTCTCTTTTCTAGCAAAAATATGTTTTTAAAAAATTTCACTCACTTGTTGGAGAATTGTTGTTACTTCCATTTTCATTTCTCGTTGGCTGCTGCGGCGTGGTAGGCTGAACCATCGATGAATTCGTTGTATCGGCCTCAGCGGTCTCACTCGTCACCGAATTGTTCGCATTATTCGCGGTTTGATTGTTCGTGTTATTATTTTGCCTCCTACTATCGGCAGAATAATAATTTTATATTCTTGCGTAATCGCATTTACGTATCTTTCGACTTGCTATACTTACTTCAGCAGATTGCTTATTATTTGACTGGATAGCCTGGGATCGGTAAACTGCGTTGTCCTGTTATTGTGATCTACAAAGTATACCCGTCCACTTTGGGTCTGCCTCATTTCCCATCCGCTGGGAAGAGGACCAAGCTCGTTCGTCAATTCGTTAGCTTGCAAGTCGCGTGGAATCCTCGGGTCGTGCCAAGTAGAAGATCCAGTTGGTACATGATAGAAATATACTTGGCCTTGCTGGGTTTTCCTCATTTCTACACAAACAGTCGAATCTTTTTGCTATATTTATACATCTTTTTCCCTAAATAATTGTATCTAAAAATGATTTCAATCGTACCGTAACCACGAGGTAGATCCGTCGGTTGCGGCGGATCGGTTCGTCTGTCGCTACTCGACATAACGCTATTTCTGTTCCTGTTACTGCGATTAGGCCTTCGAATTTGACCCCCATTGTTAAGGCCACGTTCTACCCTTCCGTTCGCACTTTGATTGCCGTTTTGTTCATCGGTTCCTCTAAAGACGCGCCGCTCCCTCAAAGACGATGCCGGCGTTGTCGCGTTTCTTACATTGTGCTGATTCTGTTGCTGATTGCGATTCTGTTGTTGTTGCTGCTGCGTCGGTGTATTTCTCGGAGTATTTTGCGTCGAATTATCTCGACTAGGTGTTTGACTCGGCGTGCCATCCCCGCCAGTCCATTCAGGCGACGTATGTCTCGCAGGACTCCCTTCATTTCTTACGTTCGGAGAGCTCGCACTACTGCTGGGAGACGTAGGCTCCGACGACGACAACGGCGGTGGTTCCGGTGTCGTCGGTATAATAGCAGTGTTAGGCCTATCAATGACATTACTCGAATAAATTTACGTCATACATATCATGTCATATACGCGCTTTGGCATGAATAGATGTCAAATATTACCGAGCATTCGGGCGAATCCATTGCGTGCTCTTCGTGTGATGATTTACATAGTAAAGTCGACCACTTTCCGTTCTCCTTTCTTCCCAACCATCCGGTAAATCATTCGGACAGCTCAGATCTCCGAGCACGTCGACCACGGCGTTATGACCGACTGTATTGCTCACAGCACCGTTATGGCCATCGCGCGACATCAGAGATACGACAATTTGCCCTTTCACAACATCCGTGTCATCGGAATGAGCTTTACATAGGTCCAAACGTTGATCTAAAAGTATATCGCAAACCAATCTTTATAAACTGCAATGTGTAAGATAATTTTTGATATCAAGAAATATACATGTTTCTTATAAGTAACAAAAAGATTAGATTACTTTGAAGCGCTGAAAACTAAATTTTTTCTCAAATTTTTTATAATACAATTTGCAAATGATAGCGATTTCGATTATTTTTGCTTCGCTAAGTCGCAAATTTGAAAATTAATCCATAATTATTGGTTTCGTTAAAATTTTATTTTTATAAATTCAGCAGATGATAATTTCCCTAAATGTACCAAACAACAAAATCAAATAAATAATACAATATGCCAATTTCATTGTAACTAAAATTCTTTATTTTTTCTAAAATAAGGAAATATTTATCATTCAATTTTTTACCCGCCAGTGCTAACTATTTTAAAATTGGATAACTTTGTCGATACTTGAAATTTCAAAATATAAAAATTTAACCCAATATAACTAGAAATATGATACTTTAAGGAAATACATGTAAAGAAGTAAATAGTATTTTTACCTATTAGAGTAGACTATCCTTTAATTCAGGTTTTAATTAAATTTTAATTTCTTACGGGGTATGACTGTATCATAGGCGCGAAATACTATCTCACGTATCTTTTCTTTTACAAGGTAAAAATAAAATCTAATCTAATAATCTAATATAAAATAAACACAAATACATACATCCTGTATCCTTAAGTCTTTGGATAGTATTCGATAATATGCGTACACATCCTAGAAACCCTCCGTTCTGTTTCTTATGGAATTTTCTATAATTCCATACAGATATGGTGATTCCATCGTTCTTTCCGATATATCTGTATGAACAGGTAACAGTTATTTTCTTTCGTATGCACTTACACTAAATCTCTCTATATTCAACCTAAAAAAATGCTCACAGGTCATAGTGTTGATTCCATTTAGGATCAAGAGTAGCTTTGCAGGTATCTGTACTGTGACACTGTCCAGAACCCTCGACAGTTATTTTAGCAAAGGGATCGGGTAAGCCTAAAAAGTAATCGTTCTTAAATCGCATTCATTTATATTTCTACGTGCTCTTTGTGGAAAAAGTACTCACGAAATAAATCCTTCCTAGCGAGATTGCGGGCGCATAAAACTAAAACGTATATAATCATTAGCCAATATATATTTTCGCGCGCAAACTAATGTCATGAATCATGACAAAAGATTTCTAGCCCTACTATTTTTTTCTATCATACACGCGATTTAATAACGACACATCTATACATCTAATTTATTGAAGTAATCAAATACTAGATTTCTAAGTTCCACATCTAATATCTAATCAGATAGATTTTATAAAATAATCCGATGACAGATTTATAATCTGATAATCTATAACTTCTACAGTATCTTTTGCTGATAGCCACATTTCGTATTTTATTACACATTTACATTCTCTCAAGTATTATTACGATTATTATAATTGTATCATATGATTATCTCTGCTATTATGACGAAATCGATTCAAACTTAAAGACGAATGATATAATAACTCATGTTAAATGTCGTTAACGATGATCGAATAGCCTTTTTAAAGAACAGCCGGATATTAATAATAAAACTAGTCAAAAGGATGATATAAGGCTAAAAATGAGGCCTTGTTAAAGACGTTGCGAATGAATGACACATCAAATGGTCTTCACGACCGTTCAGAATTAACGTTTTCATCGGTCTCCCGGAGAGTACTCGCGGTGGGGCCTCGAGTTAGCTTCGGCGCCGAGGAAACTGGCGCAACCAGACGATGAAAAGAAGCACGACGGAAGTCGTGTTCTTCACCTAGGGTACGCGGAACTCCCGGGGGACCAAGCAGACGTGGTTTGACGTTTACGCGTCGTTTATCGTAGCCCCCTCCCCCGCGGGAAAGAACACGGCGCGTGCGAGGGCATGTTAAATAACGCTAAACATAAACAGGCCCGACGTGCGTGGGCAGGTGCCCTCGTCGTGCGTGCGAACCGCGGTTTGTATCCGGGCTTCGACTTTCACGCTCGACGGGACGCACGACGCCCGAGGAAGAGACGGCCGCAACACTCACTTGTTAGACGGATCTTCATGGCTCCGTTCCTCCTACTACCGCCCGGATTCGACATCCTGCACGCACATTTAACGCTCCGCACCGCGCATCGGCGCCGTAATTGGCAAATAAAGCGAGGGCTGCTCTCCCCTGCTAAGAGAACGCGCGACGGCGATGGTGTTCGCTGATCGCCCGCACCACGCACACATACATGTACATACAAACGCGCGTGCGAACGGTCTCTCGTCGAACGCACTATCGACTTGAAACCGTCAGTCGATTCTCGGAGCGGACTCCTGCACGCGATCTCGAAGGCTCTTGTATGTAATTTTAATTACTTTACGTCATAGACATAAATAAGTGATCGGAATGGAAAATGAATTTTTAAACCGGAAAGGTGAAATTAAATGGAGGAGGAGAGAAGAGGAAAATGTTTATAGCAAATTTAAATGACTACGGCCATTCTAGTTGCTTTGTCTCGATGTATCGAACGAAGCGCGATTGGCATCGTGCCTGTAAGTTGAGTCGCTCTTGCGGAACACGCGCATTGGGAACGTTTAGCTGCCGGCATTCGAGAATAAAACTAGATATTCACTAGAAATTGGAAATGAAAGAACAATATGTATTTCATCTTTTTAAATATTCTGAATTCCCTTGCTTTGTGTTGACAAAATTAAATATATTTACTTATTTGATATTTAATAAAAAACAATAGAGTATATAAGGATCTAAAGGTGACTGTAATTAACTAAACTCCGATTAATTTAATCAGTGATTAATTTTAACCAAGGAGTAATTAATCATTGATTAATTTTGTAAGAATTATTACAAAATTTTTCTGGTTACATAATTAATGGTTCATTATATTGTTTGATAATTTAATCACCAATTAAGTTAATTGGAATGATCGGAAATTTGACCAGAGTCGCCCTAAGGAATTATTAACTTTATCGATTAATTCAACGCCAGAACTGCTTTAAAGTAATATTTCAATCTATACAATTCGTCGTCTCAAATTTAAATTTTTTTTCTGTGTATCAAGCAATAACAGAAAAATTTTATTCATGTAAACAAAATTATGCAGTCTGCAGATATTACTTGACAAGTTAATCGTCGATTAAATTAATCGAAATTTGGTTAAAGTTACCTTGAGGCTGCTTTTCCGAAAACAGTACAGACTTAAACAAAAGTTGCATCACATAAAACTTCCGATATTTTATTATGTAACATCGCATTTGATTTGTACAACGCGATAACGAGTGAGCCACTTGTAAATATTTTCACATTTTTCAATGAACACGCTGAAAGAAAGGAAGAAGCGTCAAGGGAATGCGTCTTCAGAAAAGCGTCCTCAATCTTTTTCTTCATAATTTTCCTTTATTGTTGAAGTCTTAGCGTAAAAACGTACAAATCAAAGATAAATATTTCGTGAATATTTGTGAAAGGACGGCGGACACAACGAACTTATTTCAGCGCCGAGATACAATCAAATGACGTCGTCTATAAAAACGTCATGATGTTATCGTTCCTTTTCTTCTTGTTCTCGTTACTTGTCAAATCTCAGAATAGCATGACTTAAATTACGAGTGCGATATCAGTACATTATTAATGATTATGATACCAACTGGCCTGCTTCTACGAAGGGACTGCCGCTTATTAATAGTAACGTATTACACATATATATAATATATATGTATAATATGCAAGTATGTATCATTGTCATGTGATCCCTGCACGTTTTGTACTATCATCGATTATATATCGTCGCAAAGTCACATTTACATTAGAAAGCTTTATTTAAACAGAAATTTTTCTTTATCCATAAGAGAAAAATGTCTTGCGAATATTTTATCTTTATTCAATTTCTAAAGATTTTTAATCAGAATTTTGAAAAGTTAAGCAAGTTAGAGAAACGTAGAATCTCGATGAAACAGACACTTCGCGTCGAAGTGCAAGACAAATGGCACAAGTCGCGAAGCCTCGTAACTCGTGCTTCGCATGATTCAAAGAAATCGGCGGAACTTTGCGACGCCGTATGTATGATTCGCGTTTCGCGACTACACTTGGCTACCCGGCTGAAAAGAAAGTTTCCTTCGGGGAAACTCTTTGGCAGTATCCAATCCCTTACAGATTAGAAAAGTTTTCCGTCGATTGCGGAATGTGATTAACACCGATTGCCGGCCGCGCAGTCCCTCGTTGTACTTAAAAGCGATTCAGATCTCAGTTCTCCCCCCGAAAAGTGAGGAACGCGTCCACAAGGAAAACGATGCCCTCGATAATACTGAGAGACCCTTTGGCCAAGCCGGTATCGCGGAACGATGACTTGTGTCCGTACTTCTGGAAGTAGTCGATGTTGAGCGCGCCCGCGGCGATGAACAGGGCGCATCCAATGAGCGCGAAGAAGAGATCCTAAAAAGGTAGAAGATTGCATTTAGTGAAAATCCATATTATGACGTCCTGTTAATTATACTCCTACTAATGTATTTTAATTTCTACATTATTGCATTAATTATGTAATTTTTATTATGCACACGTACACATAAATTAAGAAACACATCAACATGTAATTAATTGAAATGCAGCTTCTTTAATTTTTTAAAATTCTTTTCAACTTTGATTCTCGCGATCTCGCATTTTCTAAGCGTTTGTATTCCATTTATACATATATCTTTATATCGCAATGTTTATCTGGCGAGAAATGTATCTTGCAACATCTGCTAAAACATACCACACGGCGGTTCACCGGTGTTCCCATCACGCTGCCGATAAACAAGCCGACCAGAATAATCAGGTATCCCCCAAAGGTTCCCATGGTTATCATCGCGGTATGTTGATCTCCTGCATTGAAGGAGTTGTAGTGCAACCCGATAAGGATGCATACCAAGAGCTGTAATCAGAAATATATACATTTAATGAATGAAAATTTCTCTTACAATTAGTCTACGCGCTAATTTTCTTTTTCTTTTCTTCATGAACAAAGGTTCATTGGAAGTAAAACACTTCATTGTATCATATTTCCCTGAATAATCTCTCGCTTTTACCATTCATGTAGAAACTATAGCAGTTTTTTTGTTACAAAAGTGAAGGTACGGATATCGCTCACAAAACTGGGTCAATCTGGAGAGAGTCGACCCTCGTTCGATTCCATCATAAATAACATATTGTCCACTACTGTCCCAGTTGGCAACTTTTTATTTCTAGACAACAGATTCTAAATATGATCGTTCGGTATAATTCGTCGAATCATTAACATAGTCATAAGCATGAGAATAGTATCTACTTCGAAGTGTGTCGTTATATATGACGAGCAGAAGAAGCCCATGATCAACGGCAAATCTCAAAACTGTTTTAGCCAAAAAATCCTTAAAAATTCGTGGAATGTCTGTTTAATCATGTAAAAATAATAGGCGTATATATAAATACGTCTATAAATCTATAAATTTAGATTTTGATTCAGTAAAAAAGTTTTTTATTTCTATAATATATAATATTTTTTTCGATTATAAAATAATATATAATATTTATGCACAAGGAATTAGATAATAATACAGATTATCTCTTTAACTAATTGGCAGGCAATGGCAGCTGAAAATAGGAAAATGTAAGCGAGGAATGTAGAAAAATTTATGAGCGTTTTATTTCGCAATTACATAATTTTCATTTCAAAATCCGTGGCGTCAACATTAAAATTGCACCGGTCGGCCTTGATGCGATGAACACATTTGCCTGACACCGAATACATCTCAAAGAATCCCGGGCTTGGTCACCCACGTGTGCGTCGATAAGCATGCGATACTACAGCCAGAGCTGTGTGTCACTAATTGTAAGGAGTGCCATTATATGGTACGGTACATATTAGCAATATAAATATGTACTGTACGCGTGTGTCAAAAAAGCAGCGCAGTAATTATTCTATATATGTTTTGATCAGTATTAATTCAATGCATGCATATATTTGTATGCTGCAATTTTTTATTTTATCCAGAACAAGCATCGTCATTATCTTTTGTATTAATTCAACGTAATGTTGTGTACTAATAATGTTTATTAATTAATTTTAAATATACTTTCGCTTACAAATTAATGCAAATACATTGTTACACGGTTCGTCAGCAAGTAAACTAAAATATTTTAAATCTTTTAGCAGAAAAATAATTGCGAAATAATATTATATCGTTAAGATGATTTTATCAAGAAACTAAACGAAAGAAAGGAGCTGAAATTGTATTTAGGAAACATCAGGCGTAGTTAAAATATTGCCGGTACAATGTTATGAGTCAGCGTTAATTTGAAAACAAAGCTAAATAAATGTTCAGCAAGATAAATTAGCAAAACAGCTGTTTTTAAAAACCTTATTCTGATTAATAACGCTCTTTATCAATTGACGCGTTTTTTACTATTTGTATACTTTTAATATTATATTAACTTCAATTTGATAAAATATACGATTATTTTAAAGAGCTAGCAGTTATCGAAAATTAGCATCGAGTTATGATTTTCTACCGCTTACAAATGCAACTGAAGTGCTTGAATAAAAAGTTTCTCACGTAGGTCCCGAAGAATCCTAACGGAAGCCTCTCGTACCGATCGACTTCCGGGCGAAGCAAACCGTAATAAGAAGAGAGAGAGAACGCTCTTGTGCGGTAATCAGCGCCGCTTATGTCACTCTCCATTCTCGCCGCCTTACGAATCGCGAAAGATATGCAGCGCGGAATGTCGCGCAACCAACAATTCCCCGGCTTCGAGACGAGCTTTGATTTTCTCAAAAGCGCGATTCAAATCGCGAGCAGCGCAAGAAATTGAATCAATCGATCGGAGGAAACAGCGCAGTAACGTTAAAAATAAATTCGAGGGCATGGTGGAGCTCTCAAAGGAGTATGAGGCGACCTCGAGGATAGTGTTTCTCTTACGGCTGGAAATACGTGTGCAAGAAACGCTGATAGGTTTATGTAGCTCGACGTCGAACCTTGCACTTTCTCGAAGAACCTAGTTTTCTGCGCAATTTCGAATGCTAAGAATAAAACAGCTCTTTAAAGCAATCTATTCTTCTAATTTGCAAATGATACTTGCACGCTTTTCCGGTTATGTTAATTAATGTTTTGTAATATGACATCATGACGATTGAATTTGTACACTGAAAGAAACCTGATTTACCACGTTCATAATTTCTTTTCTCGCTTACGATACTGCGCACAGTATCTATTGGAATAACTACGTAATAGAATTTATGCTCTAATTTATCACTCGAATATATATTGATGTGTGATTTGCACTTCTTCAGAAAGATAAAATAATGCTACGCTTTTAAAGCATTTTGAAGTTGAAACTTGATCCGATGTTATAGTGATAAATAATTAAAGATATATAATAATTACTTATATTTCTTAATATACTTACAAGCTCAAGGAATTTTATGATCGACAGCCTCGTAATGGTAGCCATTTCGTCTGATCTATAAGTAGGAGAGAAATAGTATAAATTAGTTAATTGTGTGTACAATTCATTAAAATAAATAATAATGCTCTTTTGCTTGTCACAAGTTACAAAAACGTCGCGTCTGGATTTATAAAATTACGATTTATGCATTACGATTACGTGTATCATTGATGGACAAGAATGCACTGTATAAATGCAAATACAATGACTATAACTACAGAATGTAAGTCGTATGAAAGCGTAATGAACAGTAAAGAGGAAAAAGAAATGGAGGCACGACAATCGATATAATAGTACAGTCGTATAAACGAAACCGCAAATGGATGGTGTTAAAGTGATACAAGCCTCTTTTATCGAGGAAGACATTAAACATACAATAAATTAGTAATGCTGTTCGATAAAATATACGACTAATGCACACGTCTGGTAAACTTCCGTAAAACGCAATTATATTTTACGACTGCATATATAAATATATATGTACATAGCAAAAAATGAAAAGGATAAATTCTTTATGTTATAATTATGTTATGACTATAAATTCTTTTATGTTGTCGATTAAAAATAGAGTTTTTCTTATAAATTCTTTTATTTTATATAAAATTGGCAAACTACTGTGCAGTTCGCACCAAATTCTTTTTCTCTTATATCTGTTGCGGAATTAAACACGCCAGCGTTTGCTTTATCTCATTTCATCGTGAAAAATCCCATTTATTATGGGTATTATCTAAATAAAGATTCTTCTTGTAATTAACAATATCAAAAATTATAACATAATACATTTATATATTTTATCAGAAGACGGAAGACACGAACCATTACAACATATTGTGTGCGCGTATATAGTCTACGACACTCTACGATGACATGTCGTGACCACAATGACCTTAATATATCATCGTGACATTTATTGCTATTTTAATGATAGGAGTCTAAATTTAACTCTTTAATAATTTCCGCAGGTTCTTAACTTGTGTTGACATTTTTATGTATTTTACTTGCCTTCTCATACAGAAATTATTCGTAGCAAAATTCGATGCTGTTCCTTTGTATGACAAAAATTGTATGTACGCTTTAATATTCTATTAAACATATATACATATTTAAATATATGGTACATTATAAAAATTATTGTATCATTAATATGACTTGTTGAACATACAAAGCTATCGCATCGAAAGTAGCACGAAATTGAACCGAAACTTAATAACAACCAACTCTCATACTATTTTTAGATATATCGGATAACCCTTGAGACAGACTTAATCACAGAGTCCGAAACTCTGTAAGCTTTTCTCAGAAGGAAAAAATAAAAATATAAATCGTGATATAATTATATTTTAAATCGTAATTATATAAAAACTTTTAATTAATAACGTGGTAATAAATTCTTTAAAATTAATAATGTGGCAACAAGTATCAGGAGATATTGCTTTGCGGCATCATGTCAGTTGCCGTAGGCAAATATTGTGCATGCTTAATTGCACTAATACAATCTTTACGTCATTTTTCATTGGATGACTTGAGCGGGTCGGCACGCGTGATGACCATGACATACCCAAGATGGGTAGAATGCAACAAAACTAGAAATAGCGCGATGTGTGTCCTGCATGCTCACATCGTCATTGAGTAAGAAGTGTACTTGTTAGTCAGTTATGTCGAGCGTCGAATTGAATTGCTTAATCGCAGCTGCTTGAATCATCGAAATGAAATTGATATAGCGATGTTTCAGTGAATCATTTTTACATTAATCATGTTAGGAGAAAATGTTATCTCACAAGTTGGAATAAATAGACATGAAAGATATGCCGGGATACATATGCATATACATGTATACACATATTTCATACAATTTTATTTATTATCTTATCAATTTTGTATAGAAAGGTCATATATAATTAAATGCGCCCGTGAGGTTTGTAAGCATTAAGAGGCATGGACTTGTGGACAGTAATGCGTCAAAATAAAAATATAAATCATTTAGATTGTTTATCGTCTGCAATAATTACGTTGAAAACCTAATATGGGTAACAAGATCTCATTATTACTCGAAATAACCTGTGATTTTGAACGAGTACGTGACATAAATTAAACGTTGAGAGATAAATCGCGGTCATATAACGTATGAGAGGGGGAATGCATTTTTTACACCAAAAAGGAAGACACTTTCACGATGCCCGCCACTGCCTTGACTCCGTTTTTATAATTTCTTTCGGACTTTTTCCCTTTCGAGGCTATGCTCTTTCGAAAATTGCATCGAAACCAAGATATATATAAATTATTAAAGATATTATAAATGATTAAAGAAATACTTGCAAAAATATAATAAAAACAAATAGTGAGATCACTGGATTTCAATATTTGTATTATCGTAATAATTTTAAGTAAATATCTTATACCTTTTATATTTCTAACCTTTTATATTTCTATTTTATATCGCTAATAATTATTTTGTGACAAATGATCACATTGCAAACTTAAGAAACAAAATTATATACATATAGTGCTCCGAAACTTTTAAATCTACATTTTGATGATACACAATATGACGCTATCTTATATCTTCATTCTTTACATATATTTCTTCTTACACTCTGTACTTAATATCGATTAAAAAATACATACTGCGTATATGTAAATGCGCGATGCATCCGAAGTTCACATACTTATTTTTTTCATGAATTGCATTATTTAAAAGACAAAAATACGTCATTTTGTATGACATTACTCGCGTTATTTGATAAAAATAGTTGATACGTTTTATTCAAGCGAAATATTATGTCTCTCTTTCAACAATATATATATAATTTGGTATAAATTATATTTATATTTAAGATTCTCTCTTTAAAATATTTTTAAAAATAACAATTAAACATTTAGTTTTATAATCGGTCATATCTTCTATCTTTCTGCAAAATTTGTTATGATTTTCGTACGTTTGTAAACAGCGGAGTAACGTCTCGCATCTTATTCTAATATCTTACTCCAACCGGTCAAGGCTAGTCGGCCCACAAACCAGCACACAAAAGAACAGCACGAACAAAGAGCTTGGAGCGGGCGTTGGAAGCGTCTTAAACCAGCGTCCATATTAGCGTTGTTATAAAATTTCCGATTTGCAAGAAACGTGAAAAAAGACTTTCAACTCCATTCATTCACGTATAATCGGGCGTATTCAGCGTCGTAGAGTGTACTACGTACTTACGTGTTCACGCTTTCGATTCACCGGACGGTCGTAGCTGCTCGCGAGACGAGGGTTCAACGACGACTGATGCTGAAGACCAACCACGCATTGTGGAGGCGCGTCAGCTAGCCTCGATTTTTACGATCGACGGAAACATGCCGACTTTTACATCACAGCGTTCACGCATCGGACGAACACAGACGCTACGGTTCAGTGGCGCTCATTTTAGCCGTGAATCCGCTTGACGGATGTTGTCATAAGTTTACGTTTTGTTATGAATTTTAATGTGGAATGAAATTATAGTACGGTTAGCAAAACGACGTGGTCGACAAAATGACAAAGTCGCGCGAGTAAAAGCATAAAGACTCACACAGGTCGAAAAAATTGCAACGCGTCCTTTAGGAACATATAACCTTTGTTTGAAGTTTAATTAATTTTAGTTAATATTTGCATGGGAAAAAGGATATAAGCAGTATTAATAAAGAGACAAATGAAAATTTCTTTAATAAAATTTCAAGAAGATTAAATACGGAAATTTAAAGCATTATTTTTTTATTATAGAAAAATTCTACTATATTAAGTTATACTTTAAAATGCTCCAATAATCATAACAAAAGTGTATTTGTAACATTTTTTTAGGGTTCTTATTTTGATAATTACAATGCATTTTAATGTCAAATTTACTCTATCAGTTACGAAAATTCTAATGTTCTCAAGTATTTCTCTAATTAATTTAATCACGTTACCTTATATTTAATTAAAATGTTATAATTTGTGATAATTATATATATACAAACTTGTTCATTAATTTAAAGATAGTACATTGTTATTTAGTCAGCTGCCCGACTTTTAAATTAGCCATTTATTTCATCTCGTCGCAGACACAACGATATTATTTAATAATTGCTTGCTTTTTTGCAATGACGTAATTACGAGAGAGATATCATCTGTGGAATAAAAGAAAATCCAGGAATCGGATAGTGACTCAAGAATTACGTCGATTCTACGTTTCGAGCGTGACATCATATCATTCGTTATGCGATGACGTTATACATATCGATTCAGAAAAAAACATGAAAATGCGAGACTGGTGCGAGTTTCATTTTATGAATAACTTCTGGTACATTATAGAAAAAAGTTTCTTATGTCAATTTTTTAATTGGCATTCAATATTTTGAAAATTAAACGTTTAATTAAAACTCTATTAAAACAAAGATTTCTTAAATTTGAGTGAACAATAACATATAATTCTTTAATCTGAGAACAATGCCAATCTCAGGACAATTAACAGTGTCTTTAAAAATCAACTCGGCATTATTCGAGGAGCATCAAAAGTCAGGCTAGAATTTTCTTTTCGTACGCTTATGAAAATCAACAATTGTTGCGTAAACCACAAGCGTGTATAACCAGATTCATCCGTTGCCCGATATATCGGAGCGTATACACATTCCTTAGCCCGTACTACCAACATGCGAAGGGTACGACGGCCGTAGTATAGTTCCTCGAAATATCCCATATGCCTGTGCCTGTTAGGGTCTATCCCGCACACAAGTGTCCGACTCGCACGCTCGTGTTACGTTTTCGTCTTTATTTCCGCTGCCGCTCTTCCACACCCACCCACCCACACGCGTGCACAGAACATACACACACACGTACACACAGACACGTGTGTACGCTGCCAGCAAATTACCCACGACCGTTCGCGTTCGCGTTCATTAGCCTCCTTTCGCCGGTTACTTGCGATACAACACGCGTTTTCGCCGAGTCCTCGACACGCCCGCCATGGATATCGTTCGATATAAAAGAGTCTCTTTATTAGGATCAGACGTCTGCTTACAAATGTCTGCGTTAAGAGCAATGAAATCATATTAAATTATTAATATCAACAGTAAAGAAATGTTGAAATAATACAACAAACATTATGGAGTCTCTGCTTGAATTCAATATAATCTACCATGTTTTTATAAAATTATTTTTGTAGAAATATATTCTTCATTATGTAAAAAACAAATTTGTAATTAATACATAAATGTAATTAAATGAACACACATTGTTGATACGATAAATTAGTTGAAGTGATAATATAAAATATTGTTTTTTTTTTTAGAAGATTTGTTACTCAGAAAGATAGTCACTCATAATGCGCGTATGAGTAATTCTTTATCAGTATGAATCATTTACGCGAAAAATATTGACATTATAAAATTGTCATCGTAATTCCATGAAAATAATCACATTAATACAGCTTTAAAATATATTATTTAATCGTATAAAATATTTTAGGCGTAAAGATTTATTTATAAAATATATCGAATAAATGTTCATGACATAAGTAGATATATACATATTTTATCGTTGTTATTTCTGCCAGTTATTTATGTTTTTTACATTAACTGCAAAAATGAAAAAATTATTGATAGTAAATTTATTCCTAATAAAATTAATTACGCGAACAAATATTGTGCGAAGAAACTTATTTATTTTGTGAACAGCTTAGGCTTATTATAAATTAACTGTTTTATTCGCAGAGCTGGATAGCTTCACTAGCTACCATTGCAGAATCTCTCAAGATGGCGTAATGGATGCCTGTTCAACGATTTCAGAAAAGCAATAGTGAGAGCGATGTACCAGCAATCGCTATTCTTAATAATTAACGATTATAAAAAAAAAATCCAAGTGCGTTACATGACGTGAATTATTTGGAACTCATGCTTTGGTTTACTTTCCATTTTCATTTTAATATAATTGTACCAGTCGACGAAGCAGCAATAAAGTATCGGTTCGTCGTCCATATCCTAAGAGGAAAATAAAATTTTTCCGGTTTATTCCGAATTATAAAAATTGCCGAACTTTATCTTTTCCAGAGGAATCTTTTTCAGAATTTCTGTCTTTTTGTATGTTAATATGTATTTTTTAAATGCATAAGTATTGTACATCTTTGTTGAAATTCTTCAAGTGGAAATCGTTTTACTGATCATTGGATAACCTTAGAACTAGAACGACCAATGTTGTGGATTCTATAGACCGAAAATAGAACCCTTATTCTACATCTGAACACAGAACGCTCCTTTTTTTTATTTAGCGCAGTCTATAGACATGGCCTGTTTCAAGATCCAAGGTGTCGATAGAATTGTGAGTAAATGGTATTTTCTCGAATCATTCTTACCGGACTATCAGCGATTGCAGCGAGAGCGGTCAATTCTTTCAGGGTAGGAATCGGTGGCAGTTCTCCGATATCGGAATCGTGTACGCCAATTTTTTCTTCTGTTATGGAATGATCACTTTCGTCTGCGCTAGTAGAACTGGAACTTCGCGTATCATCCGATGTATCCCGAATCTGAAAACCGAAAACATTTATATTCTATACATTCTAACTAAATAGTTAAAAAAATATTTTTTTTAAATTATGCTAAATAAATTATTTAAACCATGGTCCTAAAATAAAATAATAATAATATTTTTCTTTATTCTCAAATTTTTTAAACACTTATTTTTTCGAAGAATTCAAATCAATGAATAATTATAACATATATAATTTACGTAAATTTTTACAAAATGTCACATATAACGAAAATATATTATGGATAAAACTGATAATTTCAAAAGAAAGATATATCTTACGTAATAACGAATAATTGCTTATGCCCACGCACCCACTGCCATTGGTCGAAAAGAACCCACGTTTGAATTAGATACAGACTCATAACGAAGATCGATAATATGCACATTACAAAGTTATGAATGAAGATAGGATGCTCCAATATTTCTTCGTCAGTAAATTCAGTAACATCGATGTACATATCGGCGTGTTTCATCTCCATTATTCCTGTCACAAGCATCAGAATAGCTCCTGACGCGCATATTGTGAGAGGCTTGCAGGTTCGTTTTCACAGCAATGCATAATTATTTAATGCGGATACGCACAGTTAAAATTTTGTTTATTATATTGCATCTATATTGAAACAACTAATTCTGCATATAGAGACGTATACGATAAATGAAATTTGTAATTTTACAAGATAAGATCAGTTGTCGCTATTATAAAAGAACTCGAATTGTGTAGTATTACAAAGACATCTAAAGTCTTAAGAAAACTGTATCAAGAGTTATATTATAAGAGTCGTATATAGTTAATCATTATAAGATATGTCACATATATTTCATACGTCTTTGTAAGCGTTTTTGAGAAAAGAATTTACTATTATAGGCCTGTCGGGAAGTATCTTTTTAACAAGCCAAAGGATCATAAGAACAAGGCTCAGCAACATGCAGATAGGATACACGAAGAAAATGGGGTTTCTTTCTTCCGGCAATGATGGGACTGTATCATCTTTTTCTCGTGCACGTTTGTTCATATAGTGATGCACATGATGAAACACTTCGATAGCCGATGTGAACACCTAAAAAGATTTTCCGTTGTAATATTTCCGGCATGTTTAATAATAAGAATACTCTCAGCAATAAAAATAGATATAATCTCTCTCTCTCTCTTAATAATAAAATTAAAAGAAAACATAAATATAGATTACGAGAAGAAAGCAACGTGGTAACGAAAAGAAACTCTGTAAGCTGCAATTTTCATAGACGCTCGCGAGATATGTATCCTGTGTACGTGTGTATTGCCAGCGACGCTCTCTTAGCAGGTTTCCACCGATCGTGACAAAACCGTCAGCTGAAATAGAACGCGAGTAATCGAACACTGCGGGAAGCCGCCGGTTTTCTTCCTGAAGCGATTAGAATTCGCGGAGTACACGCGTCGGCACGCGTGCTCATGCGTAAATACGTCCGATGCGTGTCCGATGCTCGACGCACATGTCGTATCCGATTACATAATAAAAATATCGATGTCACGATTATCGTTACACTGAATCACGGCGCGACGACGAGAAATCCCGACCGAAAAACTGGGTCGGTCGTATTGTTTTAATCATACAATTATTTCATCTTGAGATGGAGGCACGTAACGATAGCGATATACTATATCCTAAGGTATTACGTGTCGTGTTTTTTATCGCACGAAGAAGACGATGACGAAATATTATATTCCTCTTTATTTCGTATGTGTGCGAAAATATTTTTAGATTTGCTTCATTTAGTAAACGTTTCAATAACATATAGGAATATCATGAATAACTGATCGAGATATATATATATATATATATATATATATTCGTTATTTCTTGCATTTCTTGCAATACAAGCGTATGTATCTTCTGATACATTTTCCTTTTAATTATATTTCTAATATTTTGAGGATAACGCGTGATTATTTTTTACTATTGCTTTCCGGAATAAACATTTTGCATATATGAGAAAATTGAATTACGTCCGCTCAAGAGCGAAGTAAATTTTTCAACACGTTCAATTTCTTACGAGTTGAACAAAGTGTAGACTGGCGTGCACGACGTGCGAAAGATCCGTTCTTCTCTGAAACTTTCTTTCGCCGCTGTGATATATAGCCGCAAGCTTGGCAACTTCTCGGAGTCTGCGAAGCTCCAGTTCAGCTTCATCCTCCCTAATCGATTCTCTATTTTCAGCTTGACTCACCATTAAGTCATTAATTATTAACTCAAATTGTCGGCAGATTCCCTTGTCAATGTAACCTAAATGTAGCGGATTGAACACGACATTCCTGAATTATCTGACAAATGAACAATGACAGGAATGACATCCGCAATCAATTTATGCCAATTAAAGCTGTCTCCGTCAAGAATGCAAACAGAAAATCAATTATATCTCAGTTAAAATTACTCGACGTTAATAAAACCGGTTCTTAGATAATTTAGAAGGTAGATGCAATGCAGAAATTATGTAATAAATATAAAGCATGATTGTATATAATTACATTAATTACATAACTTTTGTTTATAACAATATAATTCTATTATATGGAAGAAACTTTTATGATATTTTTTTAACTACCGATTTCAATGGCAGCAATTGTCCGAATGGTGGATTGCTAACTTCTTCATCTGCTTTACCTTCATATTCATCTCCGTCAGATAGTTAAAAGACCGACGTACATCATTCTCGTCTGATACGACAGATCCGTACAAGTAAACAGACAGATAGAGTTTTCTCCTCCTAATTCCAAGCTTCCTCGATTTTTATCTCGCTTTTCTACCATATTTCGACATAGGATATACTTAGCTGCAGACACGGATCCTCCATTCTCAAGTTAAATTTCACTATTTCTCTTTATATATCCGCAAACATTAGAGAAAATTCTTAGATTAGACATTCAAGAGAGAATAATGCTGCCTTTCAGTAAAACGCCGTAATCAATAAAATAAAATTACGCGAGCACTTTTCTTATACTTTTGAATTTCAATCGCTGACGCTTCGTGCGATCGCTTCACGAAAGTTCAAAAAATCTGAAATCTTTGACAACTGCGAAAACGAAGGTTTACGATCAGATTTCGATACGATCGGCGAACACGCGACACTGTGAAAGGCGTTTTGGAAATTTTCCAATAGAACGTCCGCGCTCTTAACAAGAGAATGGCGAGGATGTAGAAGCTTGCTGGCACTATTGCCGAAAGTGTTCCCGAAATAACGTGCTGATCTCTTCCGATGATATATTAAGTGATTCCCATCTTTGAAAATCAAGATCGATGTGACATATTATAACATATTATAACGTAAACATATTATATGTTTTTTGACGTCATTTCTGCTCTATTTTGATTTTGACGCGCGCATTAAGTAAAATTAAACGACACTGCTGCTCATTCAGATTATAGCAAGCATTACGCAATATAATAAATTCTAGAACTATTGATTTATATCGTATTCTTCTTTTCACCTTTAAATACGAAGAAACGAATCGGTTACATTCGATTAAATTGTCCTATAAAAAAGAATTCTAAAAGTATCTTGTAAAAATTGAAAATAAATCTTCTTTTACAATTATAATTACTTTTTGTCATTAAAATATCGTATGTTATTATAATTCGAAATTATTGTTTTGCACTTTTACTTTCAAAGAGAGAGCAAGTTATCTCTATAATAAACCTCAAATATATGTCTACCATAACGAGCCATAATGAACCGAGTAATGAACGAAGAATGAGAAACGACAGTACGCAACTCGACAGTATAAATTTCCGAGAGAGCATAAGTACTTTCCTTGAGGAAAGTGAACGCTTTACAAAGAACTATAAGCTTCACGACTCCCTTTTGAAAGTGCTCAAACATTCTTACAACACCTTTAAATATTCCCGACGTCGTACAACATTGAAATCTTTCCTCTTTCATTGATATATGATATTTCCACAAAGTTATAGGGACCTGGCTGAACTTTTATAATATTTTATAAAACTCGCCACTACATTGTCCCCACAATAATATATCAAAATGAATAAAAATCTATTTTAATTATTACTTTTCACGATCGTTTGAACGTTTAATCTTTGATTTTATAATCGCTTCCTACCTTCCTACCCGACTAACAAAAAATTACGTTATCGAAGATCGTGTCTTTGTCAGAGTTGCACCCTGCAGCTACGTTGCAATTGCAAATTGCAGCTCACGGTTAATTCTCGAATGCCCGGTGGGTATAAACGCGGAGGTAAGATACTTTATTGTTTTACTTATCCTTCGAGTTGCCGTTCAACGTATAATTATAATCGAAGATGGCACATTACGTAACGATGTAGCATGCGCATCCAGGGAAAGAGCGCATGCTTTTTTTTCTTTAAATTTATAACCTTCTCCCGTATAGTCGTCATTCCTTCAATAACTTCTAGACAGAGAAAGAGAGAGCACGTGGATGCTCCGTGTAATTGTGTCTTTTGAACGGCGCCTTCGTTCCTTTCTCCACCGTCGTCGCCCAGACGACCTTGGCGGTGCGATCGAACAGAAAAATCCGATTTGCTTCTTTTACCAATGCGATTCGATAAATCTCAGGGTAATCGTCGACGAGACGTCGTCGGCGAGTAGGAAGACACCGCATGCCAGCGAGGAAGAAATCAATTTTCCAAGTGAAATTTATTTCTTGCCGCCGCGGTAAAGGCGCGAGAGGCAAAAACGTCTCCGCTCGGCTAAACAAGTGGCTCTTAAATAACTTTCTGTTACGCAATTTCTACTTGTATTTTGCTATCCTCCGTTACTGCACGCGTTATTGCTTAATGGATGATTACAAATGGTTATTAATAAAAAAAATCTGCTCTTTGGAAGACAAGTCAGAAACGTGTTAATTATACGAGAGACCTCAAAGAAGAAACTCCATTTCGCTGGCATGCACACATTCTATTGAAATAATATATACACTATTATTTCAATACTACAAATAATAATCTATTGAAATAATATACACCAGTTTAAGAAATATAAAAAGTTCTCTGCTGTAAAGTAAAAGATATTTACACACGAAAATACATCGAAGATTATACATACACGTGTAGAGAAAATAAATATAGATTGACCGAGGAGTTTTCACAAAAGTTAGTTATGGCCGGAAGAACGTGATTTCGGGATATAATAAAGATCCGAAAAGAACATCTTGAAAAATCGAAGATTTATTTGTGCAAGTGAGGAAAATGTGATGATACTTTTTTTCCCTGAAACCGGCTATCCATCTCCAGTCGTGTTAATAACGTGTTAAATTCGTCGCGTTGTATGTACAATCAGTACAATGCTTCGTGTTAGCAATACAAAATCAAAATTGCTCGATTCCACATGACTCTATTGTTTCCAATACACCGCAGCGATAAGTAGGTACAACAGTACAATAAATGTGGAACTGCAGCTGCAAACACCAGCGGAGAGTTTGCGCGATGAATCAATCGGATCTGCATATTTCTCGGCGCGTATCGAGAACTTAGACGTATACGTTTTCACCTGCGCAACATCCTCCTCAAAACCGTCGGAAATTTCGCGCGAGGTTTACGCAACGGGTTATCCTCCCTTGTATTTACATCGCGTGGGAGGACGGAGGGGATTGTTTATGTCTCTCCCTCGGGAAATACGAGAGGCAGCGGTGAAACGCCGGGCGTGCACGAAGTAACAAAGACAAGACTCTGCATGGAGCACGCGGATTCCCACGTAGAATAATATTTTCCTTTGAGAAAGGAAAATACGACGCGGAAGAAGAAACAGATGCGCGGAGGGTCTTCTGGCCCGTGAAAAACGGGGCTCACCTAACACGAGCAATCTCGTGCTCATTCGCAAATCGCTTGTCCGAATTATTTGAGAATCCCATTGAACGTAATAACAAAACTTAAATTTTCTACCAACTAAAAAAGTATCTTCTAATCACAATGCTGCAATCTTCCCATTTAATATAATTGGAATATCCTTAATTGTGTGATATTAATTAAAATCAGTATCCCAAATTAACAATATCTCTTTATAAAAATAATATATTTATATGTTCTTGTATCATCCAGCATACAATTCGACAGAAACGGAGCGGATGTAAATTCGAATGAATTCACACGAATCCATCGACAGTAAAAGTGCATTTCGGTCCAGCCTTGAGTCAGCTTTTCACTGGACAAAAGCTGGGCGTCGCGTTTGCAACGGGTTAAGCGACCTTCTCCCGGTTTTCTCGCTTCGCGTCTGCGGGAGTTTCGTCGGCAGGGTTATTTTCGGTGGTCGCCACCGCCGCACCGCTTCACAAAACTGGACTTCCGGTATGCACTCGCGGAATGCATCGTCCGCTGGCGAACCGTACCGTTTTCGATCGCGTTTTCGCATCTCTTGCCGTCGTCGCCGCCGCAGTTAACCCAGTTACGACGACGGTGATTACTTATTGCTTTATAGCAGGATCGCAGTTATTAACGCGCCGCCGCCGTTTCGCCGGTACGTTATCGCACGTATATACGCTGTCGAACACTAAGCTCTTTGTCGGCGAAAGAATTTTAATATTAACGCCACGCGGCATCGCGGCGCGGAATTACGTCGTCCTGGCGCGAGTCGTTCCGCTCGAACTCTTTATTTTACGCGCAGCGCGGCCTTAGCAATCAGCCGCTCTAATGTCACGCCGAACGATGTCGTATATATCAATTAGTTCTTCCTGAATTTGCTTCCCTCGAAAGCTCATTTTCACTGATTAAACCCACTTCCTTCTTAGAAAGAAATTCCGGAAACAAAGATGAAAGAAATGATAATTATTTCGAGGACAAAAAACAATCACGTTTATATTTTACATTCGAAAAAATGCGTGAGAAAAAATGTTTATCTTATTCCTATATATTCAAGAGGATGAATTCTTTCAGATCAGATATGAAATTTTTAACAAAGTTATCGGCTATTATGGAGTTGCTTATCAAATCAATAGAATCTTGGAATATATTTTCATATGTTTTGTTCATGCTGATACGCACAAAGTGCATGAGTATAATATTATCACAAAAACTTTTCGTAATGCGGACACTAATATTTCTTTAAAAATGATAAACATATGATAATCTATCTAAGCAATTCGGGTATCATTCAGTCATTTATCAACCTTTCTAAAATGTTTTAGGGAAACAATTGTGTACTTTCTTCGAGAGATATAGGTAAGCTCGAAATACAATTGCGTGTCAAATGGTATAAATTTTTAA